TTGTGTCATAAAATATATATATTCATTTCGTTACATTGTCTATTCTGTCATTCAGTTTGGTTATCACTAACTCAACAATAAATATTCCACAGCTCTAATTTATAATTGACTATTTAGCGTAAGAATAAACTTTAAGTAATCTAACTAGTTTGTAACAACGACTTACCATTGGAAACTAAGAAGCATAGAATGACCGCTTCGCAGCAATTCAAATTCACAACCTAACCAGGGACGACATATTGAACCTTTAGATTATGAAATAGTGATTACAACAATCATACACTGAGAGCGAGACAGAATAACAAGTAATAATTTTATTTTCAGTATAATTTAACTGTATATCATTTTTAAATAGGCATATCGTTTTTAGGTTATAACAAAAAACATGACTGAAATGAAAAAAAACCTGTAAATGTTTCGTAAAAAATAGTTCTTTTTCGATATATATAGGTTGTACATATGGTACCATAGTTTATACCATGAAAATGGAGCATCACTCATCATTGATCAATAAACGATCATGGTTATCTTAGTTAACTTTGAATGACCTTGATATGTGAATCGTACCATACATTCGATGTTTAAAAAGTGTTTATTTATGAAACTGTTTTTACTTTGATCGAAATTCGCACAAATATATATATATATATATATATATATATATATATATATATATATATATATATATATATATATATATATATATATATAAAACAGATGACCTCGTAAACAAAATTGCTAATACAAACAAATAATAAAGTTTTGAAAAAATGTTCAACTGACCATTATTATTACAATTATTATCATTATGGTTAATAGTAGTATTAGTAGTAGTGTTAGTAGTAAAGTGTTAGAAACAATAATTTTTCAAACTGATTTTCCTATAAACGCCGAAAACAAAATCGCGGTAATTTAAATTGTAAATAATTCCAACTTTTCACATGGCTTCTTCATTGCTGTGATAAATTCAATAAATGGTCAAGTGAAATATGAAAATTATTGATTTCATTCATGAAAGTTATTTTTAGGAAAAAAAATGCACAACAGATTCCTTCAAATTGTTTACACTTTATTATCAATGATACATAGTGCTTTTATGACCGTAGTAATATTTTTGTTTTGTTTTGCTAAGAAAGGTTAAAATTGTGCTTGCATTTTCAAAATGTCTAATGAATTTAATAGACATTGAAATTGCATTGCGGGGTTGTTGTGAAGATTGTTAAGTTACACATTTTTTGAAACCATGAATCGATCAATGTTAGATCACCATTAGAAACCTGGAAGCACTGGACGGCCGTTTCGTCCTAGTATGGGACGCCTCAGCAGTGCGCATCCACGACTCCTGCACCCCGCACGATTCGAACCCAGGACCTTCGGTTTTGTGCGCGAACGCCCTAAACGTTAGACCACTGAGCCGGTATCTAACGGTCCTGGGTTCGAATCCTGCGGGGTGCAGGAGTCGTGGATGCTCACTGCTGAGGAGTCCCACACTATGACGAAACGGCCGTCCAGTGCTTCCAGGTTTCTAATGGTGGCCTAACATTGATCGATTCATGGTTTCAAAAAATATATATATATATATATATATATATCAGTTCAATGTCTAGCCGACAACAGAAACGTTTAAAATGTGCACTAATGGAAGTCATCATAAATTGTAATATTCAAGAAGGATTCTTCAAATTGTCAGATTATTACTTTTAAAACAGATAACAAAAGAACCACTTATTTCGAGTTTTATTTAAATGTCCAAGGTTTTTTTTGTTTTCGTGTCATATTTAGCGGTTAATTCGGGTAATTAATTGTGTAATCTATGAGATTTCTTTTTGTTTGAAAGTTTGAATATTGTTGAAATCCTCACTAGATACGCTTGAAGCTATTACGAGTTCACTTTAGTCGATAAACGCGAACGAGACAATAAACCAGAGTCCAGGTAGGCTACCTTGAATCCCAAAACAGAAAAACAGAAGCCTTGGTATAGCGTAGAAAGTATATTCTACAAACACCCAGCAAGAACAATTCAATCAAACACACAAATCTCGTTTATTTATACGTCATAGAAACGTCTTTGGGACAGTCACGAAAATAGCACACTAAAATGACACAGTAACCAATCAAAGCCAAGGATTTTTCTGGTGGGAAATTAAATCTCAAGGTCAACCGAAAATAAGGTATTTATCGAGCGAGTTCTGGAGATCTAACATCCCCAACAAATATAAAGCATTGATTAGAAATGAATGAAATTTCATTTATTTTGCATTTACATCAGTTTGGTTCGATGAGTTCCGATGATGATGATGAGAAATAATAACCATTTCATTTGTTGATAGCTTGAAATTTCTATATTCGGATGACAATTTTGTACGATTCCTAATTATGAAACCACTACGAATTCAGTTCTCTCATGAAAAATTTACCTTGATAACTGAAAATATTCAATATCGAATAGTTTCGCGCAATGTTTAAACCTCATTAGTTAAGGACCGTACGTCAGTATAGTAAAATTTATTTAGACGACTATGAGGTTAAGCAGAAAACAGTTATTTAACTATTTGATCTGGCACTGAATAAAAAAGACTAAATAAAGTTGCTAGAAAGTAAATATTCATTTTGTTTGGATAATTACTTCAAACTATCAAAAGATTTTATGCTTCATTTTTTATAAACTAATCCAAAATTACGTTTGAACTACATAAATTTTGAATAACAGTAGTAATAATAATAATTACAACATTCTTTTGTAATGTTTCTGAAAAATCGATAATTCTTTAAATTCATTTTATGAATTAGATTGAATGGCACTGAATTCGCGAGTGTGTGAACCAGGCATTCAATGCGTCAGAAAGAATACAAAATCGATAAATTAAAATGTCGCATTTCATCCACTTTCAAAGCAATTAGACACTTTTGTTGAGTGTTAGCTGTCTGATTTGTATCGGTCATATCGATTTTATTACAAATGTTAGCTTATATATGCAAAAAAAAATAGTGTCAGGAAGTTTTATGACTTTGACACAACTAATCAATAATTTTAATCAATCAACCGGTGGCATTTTTTTACAACTTGGACACATAACACAGCTGCTGCTTTGTTCTAGTGGAGTGACTTTCGATAGAATCTACTATCTATGAACCAGAAAACGATAGAAATGTAAGACCTTAAAGTCTCACCTTGAGTTTTATTAATCACCAAACCATTTTTTGATTGGCATCCATTGGGAACACATTCTCAACTTCAGTGAATCACTGGTATAGTATGATGATCACCTAATGCCTTTATCAATAAATATTTTACTGTCAGTATGCATAAACCTATCTGATAACAACTACCTACCAGATCATCAGAATCTTAATTCAAAGGAGATTAATTTTTGGGATATTTATCAGACATCCTAAGAGAATTATTTTTGTAAGTCTAATTGGATTTGTCAATTCCTACTGGTCAGTATTATGGTCGTCCTAACTATCAATGTCAACTCCGCCTGTAGACCCTTCAGGGCTACTGCCGGTCCCAAGCCCGGATAAAGGAGGACGGTTGGACATGGGGTTGGTGACCCCATCCCACCAAAAAATTAACTTGTCAAAAAAATCTAACCAGAAAAAATAATTCAAAACATTTTAACTTAGCCCTGGGAGTTGGAAGAAGAATTATGACATCTCTTGATGGAAACTGAATTCCCTCGGAAGTCACGAGGCTGATGCCTCTTCTGACAATCAGAGCAACTATTTTTTTAGGTACATGGAACGTTCGTACATTGTGGAAGACTGGAAGACTATTTCAAGTTGTTACAGAAATGAAAAGATACAACCTCGAGGTGCTCAGCATCAGTGAAACTCATTGGACGCAGGTAGGACAACTTAGACTAGCTTCAGGGTAACTGCTGTTATACTCTGACCATGAAGAGGAAAATGCTTCACATATACAAGGAGTTGCATTGATGCTGTCCAAACAAGCACAAAAGGCACTGATAGGATGGGAATATTATGGGCTAAGGATCATTAAAGCATCCATCAAAACAAAGAGGACATTACAATGAACGTCGTCCAATGCTATGCACCAACCAATGACTACAAGGACGACGATAAAGATCAATTCTACGAGAGGCTTCAGTCAATCCTCGATCAATGTCATATACTTCAATGTTGTTTCCCATTGGTCGTCCAGACTATCAATGTCACTTCAAATATTGTTTCCTATTGGTCGGCCTAACTGTCAATGTCACAGATCTCAATGTTGTTTTCTCTTCAACCTAACTACATAAATACGCATTATCTGTAACGTTTTATGACCCGGATCCTTAGTCCCGGGTCCTTGCCTTCTTCTGGACTCGTACTTTCTGGATGCTTGTAGAATACATGTTCTCCTACTTCATATCAAGTCTTCTTCTTTTACTCAATGGGAGTTTAGGACTCTCAGATTAGAATAGCCTGTCGTATCTTCGGACCCTTAATCCTCGCTTTCGTTTTCCGACACTAAGGTAAACTCGTGTAATAATTCAATCATATCAAAATGACATATTTACGTGCATTCGCAACAACAATTATTAATCTGTAACAAGCACTACATCGTACATATGAAAATAATCTCCATACAAAATCAATTCATCCAATATTATTTGTCAATGACCAACAAAAAAAAGACGATCTGTAAACAATAATTATAACAACTTATTCTAATGAAAAATTATTTTATTTACAAGTGTTTATTTATTTATTCACATTTCTCATTATTTGGTTTGGAAAAAAAATTATAAAACAAACAAAGCAATTGTACAATGTAAATCAAGAAATGTATGTTGCGTTTTTTTGCACTTCTCAAGAAATATGATTCAATGAAAATCACAGACCTCTACTACACACATCTATCTATATAGATGATATAACAAATATAGCTCTGAAGATAATAATTGATCGATCAACGTATGATTCTATATTTTTTCGAATTTCTAAACTAAACAGTTTTATTCAAAGAAAAAATAATAATAATAATAATAACTCAACTAAACAAGTGATCAGGGAAGGGATTTTTTGTATCAAGAAGAGCTGCAACAGTCGAAAGATAATCATAATGAAGAAAACTGTGATTTGTGTGTTGTTTGTTTGTTTTAACTTGTAATGAATATGTTTTCGCGCGCGCGCGCGCAATTTAAAAGAGGAAAAAAAGAGCGTCAATATCAAACTTTCCTTTTCAATAAATAATCATCATTTATTTATCTTAACATATTTAAAAAATAATAAAACATAAATAAATAAATTAAAGTATAAAGTGAAAAATGAAATAATGTTTTACTATAACGTATCATATTATTACATACAGAGAGAGGAGTATTTCGACCAGGAAATGTACAACATGGTATAGGTTTATGTAAAAATTCACATAATGGTTGCCAACCTTGTTTAATATTATAAATTAGTAAACGTTCTTTTGGTACAATTGATTTCACATGATCATTCCATCGACTATAAGCTGTAATTAATTCATTGTCATTTTTTAAATTCACTGTTTTTCCAAGTGTATTTTGTAAAGATAACAATTTCAAACGATCCAAATCAGTTAACCATGAAAAAATGTTGAATTTTTGAATGAATTGTAATAATTTCGAATTATTATTGGATCGATATGGAATAAGATTGGCTCGACAAGCAGCATGCCATAATTCAGCATTACGTACGGTTAAAATTACCTGGAATCGATAAAGTTTATTGAAAAATATACTATATATTTATATGCAAGTGTTTGAATGTATCAATGAGAACTGTCTGCATAGAATAAATGTATCATTGATAACTAGAAAGTAGTGGACAGAGCTTTACAGGCATTATGGAACTCTTTGGAAATAGTTATTTACTATCCTAAAGTGAATTAAGACCAGAACCTTTAGGTAGCAGGATGAGAGCGTAAACTTTGGACCACTGAAATTTCATCCAATCAATCCGCAACATTGTATAAACATCTTTCATTATTTTTTCCGAGTAACTGCCTCATGTTCAACAAAGATGATTAGACTATTATCTTCTAAACTATGAAATTCAACTATTTCTACAAGTCCCCTGTTAGTAATGACTGTGAAATATCTTCTTCGTAGAAAGATAAATCAGATTGTCTGGATAAAATCCCGTATATTTGTGTTAGATTCGTTTTGCATTTATAAAAGAATAATAACACCGTGTTGAAAATATTTTCATCGATTTGGTTTGAAGTGGTTTGGTTTGTTGATTCTCTGACTGAAATTTGATCGCTGTTGGTTGGCGTATGAGCATCTATGCCAATTGCTTGCGAAAACTCCACTGCTTGCCACATTCTATGCGTTCTATGTAAACTTGTGTCATAATGGCGATATGGAGACAATCCGCATAAATGATCATATACCGAATAGACTGATCAGACTGCAGTCAAAATATAAACAACAGAGTAATCCGAATCACTTCAAATTGAATTTAATTTCATACGTGTTGCACAAGTGAGTGGCTATCTAAATTCAGTAGCTAAGTGAATAAGGCAACGGCGTTTAAAGCCGTGGATTATTTAAAAGATTAACTATAAATGTAATTTTAGAAATCCTTTTTATTATAATTAGTTAATCAATAATAACCTCCCCATGGAGCCCTTCTAGGGTTACGGCTGGTCTAAAGCCCAATAAAAGGAGAAAGGTTGGAGTTGGGGTTAGCGATTGCATCTCGCTAAATAAAAGGTTAACTAGAGAAAATAAGTCAAACCATTTAAACTTTGGCCCTAAGAGTTGGAAGGTCTTCATTAAGAAGTCATAATACCCCATGGTAAAAGCCAAGTTTGATTGGAAGTCATGAGGCCGATGCCTCTTCTCATAACCGAAACAACAATTAATTTAGGTACATGAAATGTTTATACAATGTGGGAGACCAGGAGGACTATTCAAGTTGCTACGGAAATATAAGCATACAACCAGGTTGTGCTTGGAATAAATGAAACCCATTGAACGCTACTTGGACAAAAGAAGATAAGATTCAGGAGAGATGCTGTTATAGTCCGTCGATGACGAAAAAACGCCCAACACACACAACAGATTGCACTAATACTGAACAACGAAGCACACACAGCAATTATAGAACATAAATTTTATGGATGCAGGATTATCAAAGCATCCTTCAAGGCAAAGAAATAAGTGGAAAATATCATTCAGTGCTACACAATCACCATCGATAGCAACGTAGAATATGAAGATCAATGCAATGAGAGGTTGCAGTCAATCGTCGAGAAATGCTCAGCAGAGGATTTGATCATTCTAATGGAAGACCTAAATGCCGAGGTTGTGAAGAAATCATGGGGTGAAATGGACTGGGAGAAAGGAATGAAAATGGTGAGAGTTTCGCAAATATGTGAACGAAATGGTTATAGGTGGTACCATATCCCCACGCAAATACATGCGCAAAGCTACTTGGGTTTTACCGGACCACACAACAATGACCAAATCGATTATATCTGCATCAATAAAAAGTTCAATAGACCATGGAAGACATGGAAGCAAAAGAGGAGCTGAAATAACCCCAGATTATCAATTAGTGGTAGCTGAAATGAAGCTAAAACTGAAGACGCACTGGACAACTGGGCAAACAGCATCACTAAAGTTTAATATGGCCTTTCTTCGGGATATCGACAAATTCAAGGAATTCAAGATAGACCTCCGTAATGGGTTCCAGGCCTTTAGCGATCTACTTGGTGAAGAGGAAGGGAATCAACGGAGCAAACACTGCAACATGTAATGGGGTTTTAGGTCACCAGAAGCACCATCACAAGGAATGGACCTCCGTTCTTACTCTGGGTAGAGTTCAAGAAAGGAAGAACAAAAAGATAACAATAATGTACAGCCGAACAACAGCACAGAAAGCGAAGGGACACGCTGGTTTGACAGAAGTAAACAAGGAAGTGAAGAGGAGCATTAAAGATGATAAGCGAAGATGTGTGGAAGACCTAATAGTGATAGCTGCAACAGACGAAAACATGCGCAAGCTATACGATACAACAAGGAAGCTCACTGGAACATGGAAGGCAAACCAAACATCCAGTTCCAAGAACAACAACGCAGGTGAGTAGAGGACTTTGAAGAACTCTTGGATAGACAAGTCCCACTGAACCAACCTCACAACTGATGTCTATCCACTAGCAATTAAAGAAATCAGCATGGGTATCTGAAAAATCGAGAGTGACAAAATAGCAGGGCCAGAAAACATTCCAGCTGAGGCATTGAAAACAGACATAGTAGTAACTGCAAAGATGTTCCACGCTCTGTTTAACAAGATTTGGGAGGAAGAATAACAGATTAAGGATAGCTCATCGAAATACCGAAAGAAGAGATCTCAGCAAGTGTGAGAACTGCAGGGGCATCACTCCGCTCTCATTATCAGGATGAGTCTTCAACAGTGTTGCTTAATCGAATGAAAGTTTCAGTAAACTACCAACTTCGAAACCAGTAGGTTTGATTTCGTAAGTGTTGCGACACTACGGATCAATTTTAGACGATCTATTGAACGTAACTCATCATTTATACATCAACTTACTTTAATGAGAGAAAGCATTTGACAGCGTTTACAGGATGACACTGTGGAGGCTTATTCAATGGTATGGTGTACCTGAGAAGATAGTCAACATCACACAGAACTCTTATTATGTCTACACTGTATTCATGCCTCAAAACAACTGTTAACAATTTTCAAAACAAGCACATATTGCGGAAAGCACTCAGCTGCATCATGATGCAAACCCTGACTTATGACCCTCAAGGCCAAAGGATAGAGGAAGAACAAGGACCATACTGAGCCGAGAACTAGAGACAGACATGAAAAGAATGAATAGGAATAGGGTCAAAGTGGAAAGGTAGGTTCAAAACTGAGTAGGTTAGAGAATTCTCGTCTGCGGCCTATGCTCTGTTGGCGGTAATAGGCGTAAGTAAATAATTTGATTAATAGCCGATTCTTTAGTCCTTTTTTTGATGACTGAATCCCTATCGATTGATTTTAAATGTGGCCAGTAGCTTGATCGACCCTATATTATGTGGCTTTTCGATTGGACGGTCAGTCGAAAAGCATACAACTCAGTCGTATTGTCTAAGAATTCAAATTTGGGTAGTTAATATGAGTTCCACGTAAGTCACTAGTCCACTTAAGGTTGCAGGTATGCCTAGTTGACATATTTTAACCAGCATGAAACCTATGTCACTCAGGGTTTACTGATTACTGTCCTCAAGCACCTAACATTCTAAAACAATGTTAAATATGCGCAATCAGGTAAGAGAATGTGATTTGAAAGAAAATGAATGTGCATGATTCTTTATGGTTAAACATATCAATGTGGACAAAATTGTATGAGCTATAAAAGTACACGGTCTTAGATAACAGAAGCAACAATTCATTCCATTTTATAGAAAAGAGCTTCATTTGCTTCCTATGAATATTGACTTCTTTGGAACACAATGCAAGTGATGCTCATTGAGAAAAAAAAAACTCGACGGTAGATCAGGTGAATAAAATGAAAAAACAATTAATGATTTGAATCAAATTCAATTACTAGTTTAATTTGATGTCACTGATGCTTGTTTGAAAATTACAATTTGCTTCATGTTAAGCAACTTTACCGCCAAGTTATTCAGATCACCAGTGACCTTCATCAGCATTGCAATGAGTATACTTACAGCTGTAAGAAATTATATATCGTCTCCTAGTAATTCAAGGAGGGAAAAACAACATGACAGCGATCAACGGTAGCCAAGCAAGAAGACTCAAAGTTAGGACTCCTACAAAAAATACAGAAACTTATAGAGACAAGTGAAGCGAAGCATTACAACATATATGCTTGAATATTTAGAAAAGCTATCAGCAACAACAGGAAAAAGCTATAAAAGAGTGAATTACAAAACAACTACGTGATACAACCAAAAGCCAGCAGTTGTTGACCAGTTCGGTGAGTCAAGATCGAAAACAAGGTGAATCAATCACTGAGATTGAAGTGCAAAAAAGAAACAAGTGGGTGGAAAATTTTGAGGAGCTCTTCAAAAGCCCACCCACCACTTGACCCGCCGGACATCAGAGTAACACATATATAAATCTTCTTATAGATATTATCGCCGAAACATTAGACAGATGAAATGCGATAGAGCAGCAGGACCAGATGAAGTACTGAGTTCAAAAATAAAGGAAAATGGAATGGCGCTCTGTATTCTCTAGAGAAATATTTGGGAGGAAGATCAATTACCCGCAGACTAGAAAGAAGGATACCTCATCAACACTATCGGTGTCAGACACGCTTTCAAACTAGTGTTGTTGAACGGAAGGGAGATTGTAGGTGAAAGGTTAAAGCATTTTCAAAATATACACATTAAAAAACACATCAAACTCACTTTAGCATTAGGAAACATTTGTAATAAATCATTTAAGAATGATGTAATCGGTATACCAGATACAGATTTATAATTTTTCAATAACATCCTCAACAGTTCTTGTGTATTATAATGAAAACCATTCACACGTGTTTGATGCTGGCATAAATGTAATTCTAACCATTTTTCTATAGTTTCATTCGATTCATATAATAAATCAGTATAATGAAAACATGGTGATCCATGATATAATGTTTCTAAAGCAGATTTTAAACAACTTGTTCCAGTTTTGTTTAAACCAACAACAATCACTTCTAAGTCAGAATTTGTAGAATATGATGATTTCGATAGGAAATATTTGTTATAATGATATAATTTGTGCATTTTTTTTTAGAAAAAATAGAAATGTTTAATTGTGTAAACACTGTAAAAAATTATTAGAATACTGGATTCTGTCTGCTTAATTCAATTTGAAATAAATGTTACTATGTTGATAGATAGATATACTATGACCGAGAAAATTGTTCAATGTTTCAATAGACGCTACCATATATATATATATATATATATATATATATATATATATATATATATATATATTCACATGGACGGTCTATTAACTGTCTATAATACTGACCAAAATTGATAGGTCAAGGTTATACCAATATGTATATATGTCTATTTCAATCTTTGCTTGTTGTGTATGTGTGTCAGTAGTAAGTATATTGTCAGCTTTCACTAAATATCTAATGTAAACACAGATTACAATTACTTCATTAAATAAAGTTTATTTAATTTTATTTAAATCAGTCACTCCATATTAAATTGCATATGTCTAGACTACAATCACCACAACGATTGATGGTCTTCTCTGACTCAATCAACGAACTGTAGGTCTACTAGACACGTATATCGGTGACATACAAAGATGATTTAATTGACTGTTAGTATTAAAATTGTATTGAGTTGGCTAAGTCTTCTTAGTCAAATGAACTAACCAAATCAATCAGACATTTGGAACCAATCTTTTATTGAAATAGTCAAGTGATTATTTGAGAGAGATTTAATATGGCTGAAAAGGTGAAAATGTAGCCAGCTGCCTCTAACTTATGTACATTTGTAAACATTACTATTCCAAATAACTTCAAGAGGAAACGATATGCATTACTGTAGCAGTTTGTTAGAAATTTTATAGTACTAGAAGGTTTTTTACATCCAATCTATTGCAGAAAAGAACAGACCAGATTCTAGTGGAGGAATCAGAAAGAAGCGCTGGAAGTGATTATGATACATGTTGTGGAAAGTACTTGACTGCATCACAAGACAAGCCCTCACTTGGAACCCTCGAGGTCAAATGAAAAGCCGAATGTCAAGGAACACATTACGCCGAGTAATGTAGACAGATATGAGCAGAATAAACAACAGTTGGACATAATTGGGTAGTGAGGTCCAGGACAGAGTTGGTTGGAGGATACTGGTTGGCGCTCTATGCTCCAATGAGGGTAACATGCGTAAATAAGTAAGTAAGTGAGTAACTTACATCACCAGCTCGACAAGTAATATACACTGGAGAAATTACCACATATCGCAGACGAATGGATAATTAGATAATGATACTGACTTTTACATTGCATATTTCAGATTACTATTATCAGGATTTATAGGAACTAGTGATAGATAGCCTTTTGTTTACAATTAGTTGAGTAACCTTCGTATAATTACATATACATTATTAGTCTTAATTTGTTTAATAAATAATTTTAGAGTTAGATAGATGATACACAGACTTGGCTTTTTTATATCGATAATTATGTAAACGCAATTTTTCGATCTGATAGTCCGTTTTAAAACATTTACAATAGCTTTAATTGTCCATGATTCTCATCTAAATTGCTAAATATAATGTTATTGTGAAGATTGTTCTAATTATAAGATCCTGTTCAGTCAGTCAGTCAGTCAGTCAGATGCAACGTAGAACTTCGTACGTAAGTACATCAGTTCATGTTGACATACTACATTAGCACAGAGAAGTAATTGTCAATTCAAATCCAATGGTAGTAGAGGTAGTAAAGAAATTATAAGTAATCGGAAAGGTCAGGATTAGATATTATTCAAGAAGTATGATTTAATGAGAAAAGTTTAGAAAGTCAAAACTAGAAGTATTGAAGAACCCAGAATGTTAGGATTTGAGAGAACACAAAGAATAAATGCACCGGCGCCATTGCGAACGATTTTGAGCCATGTCATTCAAGGTCTCTAACCATCGATTATTATCAGCTCGCGGACCCCAATAAGGTAGTCGAAAACTACCGATATGACTCAGTCAGCTTGTCAATGACTTCATGGATTTCTGCCATGTTTTGGTCTGGCCGCCCCTAACTTTCTTCCAACCTATTCCTACACTTCAAAACATAGCTCGTCAAGGCAGTCGGTGGTTGAGAATTCGTAACACATCTCCCAACCACCTCAACTGATGAAGTTTCACCACTTCATCTATTGATCTGCCATCCTTACTTAGCACCCGTTTCGTAATAATAGCATTGCTCACTCGGGTGTCCCACGATATACGAGCAATGCTTCGAAGACACCTATGATCGAAAACCAATAACCTACGAATATCTTCTACTCTCACTGGCCATGTTTCACAGCCATAAAGTAAGATTAGATCTTGTTCCTTAGTGAATAACTTCTGCTGAAGTGTCTGTCAATGAAAATCGTGAATCACCAGAAAGCTAGTTTGTTTCTAGTATTTAACTGTACACTTACATGACTGGTAGGACTGGGAGCTTTCAAATCTCATAGAGAGCGCTTTATAGTTGAAACTATTGAGTCACACATTGGTAGTTAGATTTTAACTTTGAAAAAAACCTTGTACTACTATCATAGTTTGATTGGAAAAGTTATGATCCCAGCGAAGTCATGGGTGTTATCGATTGACAAAACAACAGTTTATTGCTGTTTTTAGTTTTCACTAGGGCTTCAACTAAAAACTGTTTCTAATCAAATGTAAACACTATGATGGAGTTTCGTTCTCTGAGAGCTGGATATTTTTCATTTGTACAGCTTTCATTGTTCTTCTAAACAACAACATCATCAGTACAAACTTCAGATAGAATGCGAACATTGATCAGTGTGAACCAATAAATCTTTGAATAAAAGATGATCAGTTTCGTTTTTCAATACTCATCACCTAGTTATCTCACTGAATAATGGTGTGTAGTTAATTCATGAATAGATAAGTCTTCAACAGAGTGTTGTTTCATCAAATGAAAGTTTCAGTAATCGTCCAACTTCGAGAGAAGCAAGTTCGATTTCGTAAATGTTGCGACACTATGGATCAATTTTAGACGATCTATTGAATGTAACTCATCATTCATACGTCGACTTACCTTAATGAGAGAAAGCATTTGACAGCGTTTTCAGAATGACACTTTGGAGGCTTATTCAACGGTATGGTGTACCTGAGAAGACAGTCAACATCACACAGAACTCTTATGACGTCTACACTGCAGCTAATAGATTCATTCCATGTGAAGATAGGTGTCAGACAAAGTTGTTTACTCTCATCCTTTCTTTCTTCTGTTAATTGATGAGACCTTCACTTCTCAAGGAGAACACGGAATAAAGTGAACGTCTTTACTATAATTAGATGATCCAGACTTCACAAATGACCTAGTTGTTCCGTCCCAGACAGAGCAACAAATATGAGCAAAAAACAATCACTATAAACATTGTGGTGGTGTTTCATTCTCTGAGAGCTGGATATTTTTTGTTTTTACAGCTTTCATTGTTCTTCTGAACAACAACATCATCAGTACAAACTTTATTGATCAGTGTGAACTAATAAATCTTTGAATAGAAGATGAACAATGTCGTTTTTCAATACTCTCATCATCTAATCATCTCATTGAATAATCCTGTGTAGTAGTTAATTCATGAATAGATGAGTCTTCAACAGAGTGTTGCTTAATCTAATGAAAGTTTCAGTAAGCCTCCAACTTCGAGATAAGCAAGTTCCATTTCGTAAGTGTTGCGATCAATTTTATACGATCTATTGAATGTAACTCATCATTTATACATCAACTTACTTTAATGAGAGAAAGCATTTGATAGCGTTTTCAGGATGCCACTATGGAGGCTTATTCAACACTATGGTGTACCTGAGAAGACAGTCAACATCACACAGAACTCTTATAACGTCTACACTGCAGCTAATAGATTCATTCCACGTGAACATAGGTGTCAGACAAAGTTGTTTACTCTCATCCTTTCTTTCTAGTGTTAACTGATGAGACCTTCACTTCTCAAGGAGAACACGGAATAAAGTGAACGTCTTTACTATAATTAGATGATCCAGACTTCACAAATGACCTAGTTGTTCTGTCCTAGACAGAGCAACAAATATGAGCAAAAAACAATCACTATAAACATTGTGGTGGTGTTTCATTCTCTGAGAGCTGGATATTTTTTGTTTGTACAGCTTTCATTGTTCTTCTAAACAACAACATCATCAGTACAAACTTCATTGATCAGTGTGAACTAATAAATATTTGAATAGAAGATGAACAATGTCGTTTTTCAATACTCTCATCATCTAATTATCTCATTAAATAATCCTGTGTAGTAATTCCGACAAAATATATTAACTATTTGAGGTGACTACATCTGTGATAATGAATGTTAGCTCTTATGAAATTCCGTATACAAAATTCACATATTTCACTTTATTAGAATGGAAAAAATAATGAAGATTTATACATAAATGAAAGGTCTAAATAATTAATTTCTCACATAGTGCGTTACAACATTAGTATTTATGAGAAGAATGTTTGCAAAATTAAATTTTTTTAACTCTGATTTGTTAATTATGCTCAAAAAATGCAATGTTTACGATTGTTTCAGTAAAGATTATTTCTATGATTAGTAGAGTTGACAATCATTATCAATAACAATAATTTAATTAGAGTTATGGAGACTAGTGTTTAAATACATTTGAAATCATCAATCAATCATTGTTAGACTACCATTAGAAACCAGGAAGCACTGGACAGCCGTCTGGTCCTGGTATGGGATTCATCAGAAGTGCGCATCCACAACTCCTGCACCTCGCAGGATTCGAACTCGGGACCTTCGGTATAGTGCGTGAACGCCTAACCTCCGGACCCCTGGAACGGCATCCAATGATGTTAATGTCTAACTCTGATCAATCTAGAGATTTTGCGCAACCTCAACCATTTGTCTTTGGTAGTTACTGCCTACACCTAATAGGGTTGAACTCCATTGGTCACGTCTTCGCATTAGAACTCCGAGAATTTCTTCACGAAGCTAGTCACTAGTGAGCACATTTTACGTTATTTTCAATTAGAGTTATGGAGATTACGTGT